GCTACATCAGTGACCCAGCAGATGGAGGCTCCAAGAATGCTTCTGGTCTTATGCAACACATACAGAACGATTAGCCATTATAAAGATGGTATATCACCTAAAGTGTAATGTTAAGGAAAAGCATTCAAAGCAAGACTACAGGGCAAACAAAGAATATTGGGTACCCAAACTAGAGCAGGGTGTGGATGCGATTTTTAAAGAAATGGTCAGTCAAGGCCGGGCGTGGTGGCAGATACCTTTAATTTTGGCACTCGGCAGGCAGCAGCAGGTGGATCTCTGTGAGTTCAAGGCCAGCCTGGTCTATATAGTAAGTTCCAGGCTAGCCAGGGCTACAGGGAGACCCTATCTCAAAAAGGCCAAAAATTTAAAAAAGAAATGTTCAGTCAGAGCCTCGTTAAGTAGATGTTTGAATGATCTTTGAGCAAAGACCTGGAGCAAAGAGACTGAACATTCCAGACAGGAAATCAGTGCATGCAGAGATCACAAGGAAGGAGTAAGCCTGCTGTGTTAGGATAACAGCCAGGAGACAGTGGGAGTGGGAGGTAAGGGCAGAGGTGACAATAGCATAAAGTAGATCATTTTCATGGAGGAGGGTTTGAGCATAAGATTCGATCTAAGATTAAAGAATGCTACTGACTGCTAAGTGGTGGACAGACTATATCAAGGCCAGAAGGCAGGCAAGGAGGCCCACGAGGAGGCATCTGTGGCCCCAGAGAGATGTGATGGCAACAGTGAGCCAGTAAGCAGCACTTTGCATGTCTGTGTGCTCTGAAGACAACACCCAAAGGGTTTGCTGGCACACCAAATATGCAGCACAGCAACACAGAATCAATCAAGGGTGAACCCAAAGTTCTTAGCCTGGAAACAGGAGAAGGTAGTTGCTATTGTATAAATCCCATGAGATTTTAGCTTGTGGAGGTGACAGTGGCAGCAGAGACAGACCAATGCCATAGGGAAGGTTCTTATTCTCTATGAGGAAGATGAATGCTTAACTCCCAGTGGCTCTACCTAACCTAAGTTTATTCCCCATTCACATCAAGTCCATTCAACACAAGGTGGGCCAGGACCCCATTCCATCACCCAGCCAAGGACTGGCAGATGTTCTTAGCCATCTTCAGCCTGCGCCTTCCACATTTACCCTGAACGCATATGGCATCAAGTGGGCCAGCTTCTGTAACTCAATCTGGAATGGTAGCATCACTTCTAGTTATTCATAAGGCCCGATCAACCACAAAGAGACTGAGAAATGGAACCAGCTGGGTGTCAGGTAGGAACAGGAAATAGTCTCTGAGGAGCAAAAGTCATAGCTGGTAGCTAGGGAGATTGCTCAATTGGTAAAGTGCTTGCCTTGAAAGCATGAGGATCTGAATTCAATTCCCAGAGCCCATGTTAAAAAAAGAAAAGAAGCTAGGTATCATGTTGGCACATGTTTGTAATCCCAGTGCTGGGGAGGCAGAGACAAGCAGATCCCTGGAACTCACTGGCCAGCCAGCCTAATCTACTCGACAAGCTTTAGACCATTAAGAGAAAAACCTATCACAAACAAGGTGGCTGGTGCCTGAGGACCAACACACCTGAAGTTGTTCTCTGGCCTCTATGTGCATGCATACACATGTTTATGTACACACACACACACACACACACACACACACACACACACACACACAATCATGGCTGGAACAGGCCTGCAGTAAAGAACAGTTTTAGTCTCCCAAAATCCCAGCACTCAGAAGGCAAAGGCAGGTAGATTTCTATGAGTTCGAGACCAGACTGGTTTAGGGCTACATAGTGAGACCCTGTCTCAAATAAACAAACAAAAAACACAAGCAAGAAAACAAACATAGGAGTTTTATAGAAGTGGGAAGCATTCGACTTGCAAGTGATGGCAGATGTGTGCAGTAAGGAGAAAATCTCTAGAAACATCTGGACAGGAGAAAACTGGTATCTATCTATCAGCACCCATATTCAAACCTGTGAAGCAGGAAGAGATCACCAAGGATTCAGAGGGTGACTAGAAATTAAGCTCTAAGGCTCCCAGACATTAAAAACTCATAGACAAGAGGGAAAATTGACACCAGAAGCAAATGATGAGGTGGTCAAGGTGTTGCAGAACTTTCAGGAGAATGAAGACCCTGGCTCTTCTTTTGCTGATCCTGTTGCGAGCAGCTTCCACACAAGGGTAGGAGCAAAGAGCAGTTAGTACATTTTGGAGAAAAGGGAGGAGAGAAAGCCAAACCTATGAAGATAGTTGTCTTGTGGTGTTTTGCCACTTAGGGAGAGTAAATGAAGGGATGTCCCTGGGGCCGAAGGTGGCCTAGACATGGACTCTTGGTCTTTCATTCGGGTTGGTGGTTGTTTTCTGAAAATAACACATAAAGAGGCCTTTGTTTAGTAAAATATATATTATATGGGACTGGAGATGTGGCTCCATTGGTAAAATATTTGCCTTGAATGCTCAAAGTCATGGATTCCATCTGCAGCACTGTATAACCAGGTGTGATGGTACTTGGGAGGTGGAGGCAGGAGGATCAGAAGTTCAGGGTCTTCCTCTGCTACATATTGAACTTGAGGACAGCCTGGGATACATATCTGAGGTTCTATCGCAAATACATATAAGATTTTAACCATTTTAGGTATATAATTCAATGACATTGTTATATTCACAATGTAGTGCTTATATCACACACCATCTTGTTTTAAAACTTTATTATAACCAGGCATGGTGGTGCATGCCTTTAACCCCAGAAGTCAGGAGGCAGAAGTAGGCAGATCTGTGTGAGTTCAAGGCCAGCCTGGTCTACATAGTGAGTTCCAGGCCAACTGAGTCTATAAGGAGACCCTGTCTCAAAAAGACCAAAAAAAAAAAAAAAACCCTTTATTATCATCTTGAACACAAATTTTATACTCATAAAACTCCTACTTCTGGGGCTGGAGAAATGACTCAGCAGTTAAGAGCACTGACTGCTCTTGCAGAAGACCTGGGGTTCGATTACCAGCACCCACATGGCAGCTAACGACTGTCTGTATCTCCAGTTCCAGGGGATCCAATGCCCTCTTCTGACCTCCACAGCCATTGCATGACACAGGTGCACCTACCTATATGCAGGCAATATACTCATACACATAAAATAAAATAAATAAAATATTCAATATTTATTAAATTAAATTAAATTAAATTTTAAAACCACCTACTTCTGCTGGTGCCCTGATAAGTACCATGCTACTTTCTGCCCCTGGTTTTATCTAGATAACTCATAGAAATGGTATTATTAATATTTACCTTTTGTAAATGTCTTATTTCATTCAGAATAATGTCTTCGGTGTTGTAGGAGCCATGAGTTTCCTTCTATTTGGTGGCTGAATGACACCACGTGGCATGCAAACACTATAGTCCTTGTCCATCCACCTAGTTGATGGACACTGGGTTGTTTAGATCCTTTGGCTGTTGTAAATGATGCTACTATGAACCTGGGGGTAAGATATCTTTTTAAGTTCCTGCTTCCAATACTTCAGGCAAATGCCTAGAATCATATGGTAGTCCTGTATTCATTTTCTTTTGGAGGAACCCCACACTGTTCTTTACAGCAGCTGTGCCATGTCACAGTCTCACCAGCAATGCTCAGTCCCAACTTCTCTACACCTTCACCAGTGCCCATTTGTTTCTCAGCTTGTATTTTTCACAGAAGTCACTGCAATGAGTGAGAAGTGGGCTCTCATGGTGACATCAATTTCCCTGCCCCTACTGACTGGGGATGGTGAGCAACTTCCATGTGCTATTGCGTTTTTTTATCTCTTCTTTGGAGAACTGTCTATTCAAATTCGTTGTCCATTTAAAAAATATTTTATTTATTTTTATTTTATGTGTATATTGCCTGCATGTAGGTAAGTGCACCCATGTCATGCAATGCCCGCGGAAAACAGAAGAGACTGTTGGATCCCCCGGAACTGGAGTTACGGACAGTTGTTAGCTGCCATGTGGGTGCTGGGATTTGAACCTGGATCTTCTGCAAGAACAGTCAGTGTTCTTAACCGCTGAGCCATCTCTCCAGCCTCACTGTAAGCAAAATTTGAACATCAGAGGAAAAGAAAAGAAAGTTGGGGGAAAGGGGATGTGGTGACCCATGCTTGGGCCAGGGCTCCTCAGGCCCCCACATTCTACATGGATTGCTCTAGCTCCAAAGTGCTCTATCACCTTTTGATATTTTGCAGCAACATACACATCTATTGTACCTATACTCCATTACCTTACAGAAACATCATACACCTCTACTATATTTCTTTGGGGGGTCACTGGATTTGGAGTTGACAGCCTTAGTTTCCATCTCAGCCCTATCATTCAATAACCTATGCACCTTGATTTGGAAACTTTGTGTAGTTTGCAACCTCAATTTGGAAAATGCAGATAGATTTAAAAGCCCCTATCTAGGCCAGAGCCTGGTACATAGTAAGTGCTCAGTAAATATGGGCTGAATCTGAGGTATATATAGTGAGTTCCAGACCAGCTGGGGCTACAGGGAGACCCTGTCTAAAAACAAACAAGCAAACAAAAAAAAAAGTGCTCTACAAGCAAACTATATGTCAAGTGCTCTACAATCATTTATTTATTTATTTATTTATGAGACATTATCTTGCTACATTGCCCAGGCCAGCCTAAAACTCATGCTCCTTCTGCCTCTGCTTCCTGAGTGCTTGGATTGTAGACACGCACACTTAAAATTTACAGTAAAGAAGCTGGGCATGGTGGCGCACACCTTTAATCCCAGCACTTGGGAGGAAGAGGCAGGTGGATCTTTGTGAGTTTGAGGCCAGCCTGGTCTACATGGTGAGTTCCAGGACAGCTGGGGCTACAGGGAGACTCTGTCTCAAAAAGACCAAAAAAAAAAAAAAAGAAAAAAGAAAAAAGAAAAAAGAAAAAAAAATTACAGTAAAGTAAGAAAGGTCCTGCATGTTATATATAACATTATTTTAAATGTTTTATTTATTATTATGGGGGGGCACGCACAGTGCACAGGACATTTGTTGTGTTTATATACTCTCTACTCTCTACATATTAGGAGTCAGTACTTTCCAGGGATTGAACTCGGGTCATCAGGTTTGCACACCAAATACCTTTACCCACTGAGCCATCTCACTACCCTGTAATTACATTCTTGAATCTACAATCCTGCTTTCTATATACTTGAATCTACAAGCCTGCTTTTCCCTCCTCCCCGAGTCACTGACAGTATTGAAGAGCAGAGACCACTTGCCTTATAAAATGCCTCACTTTCTATGTCTGTCCGATGTTTCTCACATCCAAACACAGGCACAAGCAGGTGACAACACCCTACCACTGGGGGAGCAAAAACAGGAAAACAAATTTGAGGCCAGACTGGTCTGCTTCGTAATTTCCAGTCCAGCTACGGGCACAGAATGAAACCCTGTCTCAAAAAACAACTTAACTCTGGCACAGTATTTTGTGGGCCCCACTCGTGTAGGAGACCTATCTGCATTACAATGCATCACCTAGGCAGTACCAGATGGTAGTCGTGAGAAGCTGTGGCATTCGGTTAAGGTGGTACAAAGGGACCCAGGCTGGCCTCGAATTCGCTGCAGCCCTCCTGCGCCGGCCTCCTGCCTAGGCTGCCAACCCTCTTTTAACACCTTTACGAAATGAGAGGCCCCAGGCTTTCTGCTCCGAGCCTTTCCTTTACAATATCAGAGTAGAGAGACTCCCAGTTCCGGATTCACCCCTGGAGATTCCCCCTTCCCATGCCAGTCGATTCCCGCAGGTCGGGTCTTAGCCGGCAGGGAAAAGTCAAGGCGGGCACTGTAGGGGTATCTGTCGGCGGGAGGAACCGATCTGCACGCCGCTTGGCCTACCCGGACGGGGAATCCTGCCGCACCGGGTGCTCCTGGAGAACGCTGTTTTCTTTGCGCTTCCTGAAGTCCGCACTTCTGCCATCAGCGTCGGACCAGAGTTCCCGGTGCTCAGCTGTAGCTGTCGGCGCGCGGATCATTGGCGAAGCTGCAACCATGGGGATCTTGGAGAAAATCTCGGAGATCGAGAAGGAGATCGCTCGGACGCAGAAGAACAAGGGTGAGGGTCGGATCGGCGGGGCCTCCCTTCCTGCTCTCCTCAGTTTTCTTGTCTGTAAAATGGAGGAGCAGCTCCCATGATGCAGCAGGAGCCTTTTCGGAGGCCACAAAGAATTGCTGGGAAAGTGCTGAGGCGAGCGGGAACGGGTCCAAGGTCCTGATGTGGTTTCAGGATCCTTCGAGAGGTCTGATCGGTGCTAGACCCGGTGACTGAGAAGAAAAATCTCAGCTCACACAATAAGCATGTGACCCAGAGAGAGGCAGGGCCTGGGCAGTTCATGCTGGGAAGAGCAAGAAAAGACTTCTCACTAGTTTAACCCGGCAGGCAGGCACCAGGTTCAAGCGACCTGTATGAGGGACTAGGGAATCCGGAAGGCCTAGGTTTGAACCCCACTTCTACCACATACTTGCTATGAAAACTTGGAAAGCCATGTCATCTTTTGGAGACTCCTCATGTTCTCATCTGCAAATGGAGATAGCCCCTTGCTGTGTGGTAACTCACATGTGCAAAGTCTTGATACAGGGTGGGTGAGCATTTAATATATTTTCAGTAAACAGCTCCAAATAGATAACACTAAGGAAGCATCAACTCTAGACTTCAAGCTGAAAGGGTTGGAGATCTGAGGAGAAAGGCTAGGAGAGAGGAGTGGTGGCCCAGAGGATGTGAGATATACTAAGCAATGTCCTTGGTGCTTTTCTAAGATAAAGGAGTTAGTACTGCTAATACTCCTATTTTTCAGATTAAGAAACTGATGCATAGGCCGGGAGTGGTGGTGCCTGCCTTTAATCCCAACACTTGGGAGGCAGAGGCAGGCAGATCTCTGTGAGTTGGAGGCCAGCTTGGTCTCCATAGCAAGTTCCAGGCCAGCTGGGACTACAGGGAGGGAGATCCTGTCTCAAAAACACTAAAGAAAGAGAGAGACAGAGAAAG